AAGGTTGGATAAATGCATGAGAGGGGTTGGACTTAAGTGGGACTTCCACATGAGCAATTAGATTTATCAGAGTTTATTGTTAGAGTAGCACTGAAAGTGGGTTGAACTGTAAAGGACCTGCCCATATGGCCATCAGGATTACTGCAGTATTCCTCCTTCCTTATGTTCTTATGTGAGGTCTTACTAGTGATGTAAAGATCTGTAAAATAATTTGTTGACTCCTATTACTAATACTTCTTGATATAAATCCAAGTAATCTGTTAGCCTTATTGCGCACAGTTAGCACTATTGTCTGAGTCATATCTTGCTTACCATAACTCCCAAGTCTTTTCACATTATGTATAATTAAGCTCTCCATGTTGATAAATTAGACACATGTGCAATCTTGGTATCTTTATTGAGGAAACGTTTTCGCCACACAGTGGCTTCATCAGTCCATACAAAGGAGAATCTTGAAGAACAGGAGGAGAATGAGGTAATCAGTCCCTCAACCTCAACGTTTTCCTCAATAAAGATACCCAAGAGTTGCACATGTGTCTAATTTATCAACATGTCGGTTCTCTGAACCATTCATCTACTAAGCTCTCCATCACCTAGTTTATATCCATGAGGCTTATTTTTAGTTCCCGAAGACTAAGACTTTATTTACACTTGTCCTCTTTGAACTGCATCTGCCACTTTTCATACCATGAATTTATTCGTCTTAACACTGCTGAATTCATTGTTGTTCTCCTCAGAATCTATTATTCGGGTTATTTATATGTCATAAACGAATTTACTCATATTACTGTTATTCCTTCATCAAAATCATAAATGTAATATTATGAACAACAATGGACTTAAAAACTGATCCTTGTGTAAGGCCATTAGCGTCAGGTCCCCATATCTTGACCCCATTAATTTAAACTTTCTGCCACCTATTGGTTAGCTATGCCTCGATCTATGTATAGAACTTTACCTCCTATACCATGAGCTGCCACTTTTCTTAACAGCCTTTCGTGCAGTACTCTATCAAAGGCCTTACTGAAACCCAAGTAAACTCTACCATATTCTTTATTGTTGTCTACTGCCTCATATGCTTTATTAAAGAATATTAGTAAATTTGTCAGGCAAGAGCAACGTCTTGTGAATCCATACTGAGCCTCATCAGTCAAATTATGCTCATTAATGTGACTTCAAATGATATTGGCTATAAATGATTCTAATAATTTGCCTACTAAAGGTCAGGTTTATTGGACAGTAATTTGAGGGAATTGACTTATCCCATGATTGGTTTAGAAAAACACGTAAGAAAACCCTAGGACATGTTAGAAAACGTTTCTGTCCTGGGACCTTGATCAAGGTCCCAGGACCGAAACGTTTTCTAATAAATATGTCCTAGTGTTGGCTTACGTGTTTGTCTAAACCAACTTGTCGGTATTTATTACCAAGGTTTATACCATCCCCTGATTGAAATATTGGAATTACATTAGCTGTATTCCGCATATTCAACACACCAGCTTGAACTGATGAGTTTAACAGGTTTATTTGCTGTTGACTAAGTTCCAATTTGAATTCTTCAAGTACCTTGAATACAGTTCATTCGTTTTAGTTTGTCTAATTGTTTGATATTTGTATCCCTCGTGCCTGTAATATTTCTTAATTTATTTTCTTCAAGGCCTGAATAATTATTGATAACTGGGATATCATTTATGTCTTCTTGTGTAAAAACCGACAATAAACACCTACTAAAAAAAGGGCACATTGCCTGCTCATTATCAGTAAGCTGTCTAGACCTAATTTTTAGAGGTCCTATTTTCTTCCCTAATCTTTGTCCTATACATTTGAAAGGACCCATCTGGATTCGTTTTTGATTCTATAACTAATTTAATTTAATAGTCGCGTTTAGCCTTGCCAATCCCTTTTTATACCTATCTTTTAAGATTAACATAATGGTCAATATGGTTAACCTCTCCTCTAGATACTCCTATAAATTCCTCTTTTATATCTTAATAGACGCTTTAGTCTCCAATTCACTTGTTTGGGCTTGTTCTTATTTGACGTAAATTTTGGCTGGGGGATATATATACTTTAAACTTGTTGCTCATTATTAAGAAAAAGTTACATTTGCGGTTCCTATCGTTATTGTAAATATTGAACATTAAAATGGTATAAAATACCGACAGGTTGTTAGGTAAGACACATATGCAACAGTTAGGTATCTTTATTTCGAAACGTTTCGCCTACACAGTAGGCTTCTTCAGTCGAGTACAGAAAAGCTGATAGAAGCAGAAGATACTTGAAGACGATGTAATCAGTCCATCACCCTTAAAGTCTCTTCTGCTTCTATCAACATTTCTGTACTCGACTGAAGAAGCCTACTGTGTAGGCGAAACGTTTCGAAATAAAGATACCTAACTGTTGCATATGTGTCTTACCTAACATTGTAAATATTATCTTCAATAGTATCATTTACACAGATATCCCCAGTCAAGATTAAACAAGTATACTCTAAGTCCATTATAATCGGCAGACCAAAATCGGGGACTTTTATTGTATTATCCCTATTTTTGTATTTCCAGGTAACACAAAGGGGAAAGGAGCTCACGACGACGTTTCGGTCCAAGTCAGACCAAGATGTAGTCTTAAGCTCCTCTTTTTTATGTGTGGGTTATTTGTGTTTTGTTCCAGTCACAGTATTGTGCCTTTTTATTCTTTAACATCAAAGTTAACAGATTTGTGATCCATCCAGCCAAACTCCTCAGTGATCTCAAGATTTTAACGAGAGTTTCCTTATTGGACAAAACCAGATCCAACAGATTAGTGCCTCTAGTAGGTTGTTACAAACTGCTTCAAAAAGCAGTCCTGAACTACTTCCAGGAAGGCACTGGACTGTATTATTATTATTATTAAAGATTAGCCGGTATTCTCCCGGGCCGGGCCTTGTCCAAGTGGTGGCCCGGCCTTGGCTCCCTCTTTAGGGAGTGTCTGAGACCTAAGTCTCCCATGGGAGGAGGCACAAGTACCTCCTCATCTTTGGGACCAACTGTCCCCAGGCCTAGCCACAAGCTAGGCCTCTATGGTCTGCCATCCCCGCCCCAAGGGGGCAAATGGGAGTGACAGTCTTATGAGCTAAAGGCTCGGGCTCAGGCACCTACCCTACCCTAGAAGGGCTGGGCATGGTGTCGATCACTCGACTGTAAATTTCCAGTCGAAGTAGTCCAGTTTATTTGGCTGAAGTTAAAATCCCCTACTATAACTATGTTATTGTATCTAGAAGCCTTAACAATTTGATTCCAAAGTCTTTCTCTGCCGCTATCTAAGATAATTAAAGGATCGGTATATAACATTAAAATATATTTTCTCGCCCTAGAAATTCTTCCCACACAGATTCTGTGTCTAATCCATCAATTTTTATACCTGTTTTGATGCAACAATTCAAGTTATCCCGAACATATAATGCTACCCCCACCCCACTTCCCATTATTTCTATCAACATGCAACAACTTAAACTCTTGAATGTGGTGCTCGGCAATCATATCCCGACTCTTTAAATTACACCATGTCTCAATTATTAGTTACATTAATGTATCTCATACACGTAACCAAACGTGGATCATTAATTTTATTCCTGATATTTGACTATTAGTATAAAATATGTTAAGATGTTTTTGTTCTGCACCATTTCCCTATTTAGCTTTGCTTTTCACAATTTCTGTTATCATCTTGATTCAGTGTTAACTGGTGACTGTTGTTCCTGCTATTCATGACATCAAAGCTTAAATCAATATATTCTCAATCCATTTTCCCGCTTCCAAAACCCATACTTCTAACTATTCCTAGTTTAAAGCCCTAACAGCATCCTTCACTGAACTAGAGAGAGAGCACGCACACCTGTCCTAGATACGTGAACCCCATCCGTGGCATACGTGTCATTTCTGCCATAGAAGTGGTCCAACTTCTTGATGAATAGTACTGCATGAGTCCAGTATGAGTCCAGCCAACAATGAATATCAGTTGCTCTGGACAGCCATTCATTTACAACACCCTTTCTTGGCAAAATGCTACATGTAACAGGCCCCCCCCCTTCTTCCTAATTATGTCTGTTGCTGTCCTACACCTTCTAACTAAATCCTCACTCCTGTGCTTGCCTACATCATTGCCTCCAGCAGTGTGGCAGATAATGGAATTGATCCCATTACCCTTCATAATGCGGTCAAGACAGCTAACAGTATCCTCCATCCCAGCACCAGGGATGCGAAACCTCTGTCTCCTGCTCCCATCCTTCAAGCAGAAAGCCCTATCCATGAACCTAATCTGTCTCCAACAAGCACAATGTTCATACTTTCCTTGTCAGAGTTGGTCATGCTCTCAGTGGTCGACTCACATTCATCAGGTAGCACTGAAGTCTCCTGGATCTTCGGTGCTTCCACTTTTCTATCCTTCCTCGTGATTCTCAGCTGCATTCCAGTCAGCCCGGTAACTGTCCAGCTTCCTTTCTTGACCTGAGGATTCACAACAGGAGGATTACTACGAATCCTTTTATTTTCCCCAGTCAGTCAGTGTATCTCTAGCTCAGCCTCCTTCAGCTCCTCCTTAAGATGCTGGAAGAGTCGCTCGATAGAGGGCATCGTTGTTTTCAGTTTTACAGTGAGCTCACAGAGTGTGTCTTCACAAGAGCAAGATCACTTCATATGTAGGGATTTCTTTGTGTGGATTTTGGACAATTCCTCCAGAATCTTCCAGATGTAGATTATGCATCTTTATTGCCTACATTCTGAGGAGTACAATTAAAGGGATTTCAGCCGCTCTACTGTCCCTGAAAAACTGCTGACTCACCATGTCATCTCATGTTAGTCAAATATTGTTTGTCTCATGCCACTGGACGTGGCATGAGACATTATCTAAAAATACTCATACTATTTATTACTTTTTGATTGTAAGAAGAGCGCTCTGCTATATAAATACAGCTTACCTAATTAAGATACTTAAACTTGACACCTGGAACATTTGTTGTGTAGGTGGTGATCCTGGACGAGCCAAGCAGCGGACTGGACCCAGAGTCTCGACGGTGGGTGTGGGACGTGGTGCAGGGAGAGCGAGGACGTCGCACCGTCCTCGTCACTACCCACCACATGGAGGAAGCTGATGTACTGGGTGACCGTGTAGCTATTATGGCCTCTGGCAGGGTGGTTTGTGAGGGATCAACATTATTCCTCAAAAACAAGTTTGGTGAGTGAAAAAGAATTTTCTGTCTGGTATCGGTTATATTAGGCTGCCAGAAGAGTAGTTACGCAGCACGTTTGTTCTGCAATTAGAGGACGGAGAATCGAGCCGCCAGTGAATGATTTTACATAGGTTTATCTCTTCACATACAGTTTAATACTGTAATAATAGTTTTAACTAGATTTCCTTGTGTAGTTCTTAAATGGTATAAACCTTGGTAATAAATACCGACAAGTTGGTTTAGAAAAACACGTAAGCAAACACTAGGACATATTTATTAGAAAACGTTTCGGTCCTGGGACCTTGATCACTTCTAACATACAGAGGTAGAAAGACATTATCCGCCTATATGTATAATGTCTTTCTACCTCTGTATGTTAGAAGTAATCAAGGTCCCAGGACCGAAACGTTTTCTAATAAATATGTCATGGTGTTTGCTTACGTGTCTTTCTAAATCAGTTCTTAAATACCCAGAGTCTCTTTTTTAGTTAAATTATTTTACCGAAGCATTTACACAAACATAATTTCTTAGTTTTACCATCATATGTTTGCATTTCTTCAGAAAAACATAATGCCTGTTTGTTTTCAACTCTTTCTCGAATTGCAAATGACTAACATAAAAGTTATATTTAAACTAAAGAATGGCTTAAAATCTGAGCGAACATGCCAGAGCCAAACAAAGTTTAACGGCATTTAGCGCAGTGCTGAACGACCCATGTAAGTTTAGCGCTCTGTTTTTAAGTATAGTATTAGTCGCCGAACATCTTTCGTAACTATAGATTCTCATGTGTTTTCTCTGTGCACTATTGTATCACAATAACAAATAACAACAAAAAAAGGCACAATACCGTTACTGGAACGATACACAAATAACCCGCACATAGAAGAGAGGAGCTTACGACGACGTTTCGGTCCGACTTGGACCATTTACAAAGTCACATTGTGTGACTTTGTAAATGATCCAAGTCGGACCGAAGCGTCGTCGTAAGTTCCTCTCTTGTATGTGCGGGTTATTTGTGTATCACAATATAAACTGCCTCGTAAAGGCCCAGGTTAAAATAAGTAGTAGGGAAGGCGGCTGTATGGCTCGGAAGTAACACCTAGGTGTTACTTCCGGTTTCCTACTTCCGGTCTCTCCTTCACCCCTACTTAGGAGTGAAATTTTGCACCTTTGATAATGACCCTGACCTCACCCTCGACCACCTCACGTACACCAGTGCATACGTAATAGGGCAAATAGATTATTGGGCTTTATATCAAGAAGTGTAAGCAACAGAAGTCCAGAGGTCATACTGCAGCTTTATACACCATTAGTAAGGCCTCACCAAGATTATGCAGCTCAGTTCTGGTCTCCATATTACAGAATGGACATAAATTCGTTAGAAAACATTCAGCGTAGGATGACTAAATTAATACATAGCATTAGAAATCTTCCTTATGAAGAAAGATTGAAGACTCTTAAATTACATTCACTTGTTAGACGAAGAATGAGGGAAGACATGATAGAAGTGTATAAGTGGAAGATAGGTATTAATAAAGGGGATATTAATAAGGTCTTGAGGATATCTCTCCAAGAGAGAACCCGCAGTAATTGATTTAAATTAGACAAGTTTAGATTTAGAAAGGACATAGGAAAGTATTGGTTTGGAAATACGGTAGTTGATGAGTGGAACAGTCTACCTAGTTGGGTTATTGATGCTAGGACTTTAGGTAGCTTCAAATTTAGGTTGGATAAATATATGAGTGGGAGGGGATGGATTTGAGTGGGACTTGCAAATGAGTGGATAGAGTTATCAGACCTTATTTCTTGGGGAGCATTGAAAATTGGGTTGGGTAAATGTTTTGTTAGTGGGATGGATTGTAAAGGACCTGCCTAGTATGGGCCAACAGGCCTGCTGCAGTGATCCTCTTTTCTTATGTTGTAATAAAGTTGGTAGAATTACCGACAATATGTAAAGTAAAAGGACACAAGTGCAACTAATGCGACATTTTATTGTGGCAACGTTTCGCTCTCCAGGAGCTTTATCAAGCCATTACAAACAATACATGGACACAGAGGGTATATAAAGGCTCAGAGTGAGGTGCAATACTAGTGAGGTAACATTTCGATGTTCACTAGTGGTGGTGGTAGTAGTGACAAAAGTAGTACAATATGGTAGAGCAATTAATTCGTACATGAGTAAAAGGATATAAAAGCTATTACTTGGGAAACAAAAATAGTTTGGACAAATATAGAGTGGTAAGAGGCAGCTTGTATCAGTGTTCACTCTCTGTAATGTGCTTTGTGAGGAAATGGTATGGTGATACCGACAAGATGTGGAAAAAGACACTTATGTACAGTTCAGGACATTTATTAAAGGAAACGTTTCACCACGAGTGGCTTCTTCAGTCCTAATACAGAGAAAACTAAGAAAACATTTATATATATAGTGGCAGGAGTCAGGTGAGGGGACGCGTGGGTAGAGGTGGTAGTAGTAGTAGTAGTAGTAGTAGTAGTAGTAGTAGTAGTAGTAGTAGTAGTAGTAGTAGTAATGGAACTAAGGAGGTGAGGCAAGAGAGGGACCTGCTGGCATCAAGTAACACCAGTTCCCAGGATGGGTAATATCCTCTTGCTTAGTAATTTTGAAATACTGTAACTACCGGATTTTTGCTTTATAGTGTTACTGACAGAAATTAGTGCAGTTTCAATGCATTTTCTCCGTCTTAAGTCGTCTTCTTTAATAACTAGTTTAGCTTCATTGAATTTCATGAGGTGTCCAACATCGTCTCTATGTTGAACACATGCGTTTTTGCGGTCATCATTTCTGCAAGCATTTTTGTGTTCTGCTATTCTAATGTCCAAAGTTCTGGCTGTTTCCCCTACATATACTTTGTCACACCCCCCACATGGTATAGTGTAGATTCCTGCACTTGTGCCAGAATCATGCTTGGGTTTTTGTATCAGGATCCTAATAGTAGTTGAAGAGCTGGTAGATATTTTAGCCAGTTTTCTGTCAAACATGTTTGAAACATTAGTGGCAACGTTGCTGACCGGTAAAACGATGTAACTTGGAGGCTTTTCTTCAATTTGATAGGTGTTGGTCTTGCTGAGGATACGTGCCGCACGTTTCCTACAGTCACGTATGAAGTGTAGGGGAAAGTGCAGTAAACTAAAAGAGTTGGTAATGTAATAAAGTTGGTAGAATTACCGACAATATGTAAAGTAAAAGGACGCAAGTGCAACTAATGTGACATTTATTGTGGCATTTATTGTCACATTAGTTGCACTTGTGTCCTTTTACTTTACAGAGTTGGTGATGTATGTACATTCTTCTTCGAGGAACTGTGGACTGGAAATTCTGTAGGCTCTCAGAAAGAAGCCAATAACTACCCCTCTTTTAGTTCTTGTGTCATGGTGAGAGAAGAAATGTAGAAGATCGTTCTTGTAGGTAGGCTTCCGGTAGACTTTAAAAGAAAGTTTATTTTCCCCTGTGCGTAAGAGAACGTCGAGAAAAGGTAATTGGTTGTCCTTCTCCTCCTCTAGTGTAAATTTAATAGTAGGTTCCAGAGTGTTGATGGTGTTGAGGATGCCCCGTACGTCAAGATTTTTGTGTACAATGACCAAAATATCATCTACGTACCGCATCCATGTAACTGAGCGAGGGATGTTACTGAGGATCCTTCTTGATTCCAGGTCCTCCATATATAAATTGGCAAAACTGCACTAAGGGGGATCCCATGGCTAGTCCGAAGAGTTGTTTGTACTTCTTGTCCTCAAACCTAAAACAGTTATAACGAACACAAAGTTCGACAAGGTTCACAAAATCTTGGCGGGGTACAGGTAACTCTGTATTATCTTTAATCACCCTGCGAAGAAGATCAATGGCTTGATCAACTGGGACATTGGTGAATAAGGCAGTCACGTTAAAACTTGCAAGCTTCTTATCACTCATGTCAAGATCCCTGATACGGTTAAGGAGGTCACCCGAATGCTTTAGATGAGCCTGACTGATTGTACCCAGGAGCTTTGACAAATATTTCGCCAAAACTCCTGCTAGACTGTGAGGGGCGCTGCCGATTCTTTTAGTTTACTGCACTTTCCCCTACACTTCATGCGTGACTGTAGGAAACGTGCGGCACGTATCCTCAGCAAGACCAACACCTATCAAATTGAAGAAAAGCCTCCAAGTTACATCGTTTTTCCGGTCAGCAACGTTGCCACTAATGTTTCAAACATGTTTGACAGAAAAATGGCTAAAATATCTACCAGCTCTTCAACTACTATTAGGAACCTGATACAAAAACCCAAGCATGATTCTGGCACAAGTGCAGGAATCTACACTATACCATGTGGGGGGTGTGACAAAGTATATGTAGGGGAAACAGCCAGAACTCTGGACATTAGAATAGCAGAACACAAAAATGCTCGCAGAAATGACGACCGCAAAAACGCATGTGTTCAACATAGAGACGATGTTGGACACCTCATGAAATTCAATGAAGCTAAACTAGTTATTAAAGAAGACGACTTAAGACGGAGAAAATGCATTGAAGCTGCACTAATTTCTGTCAGTAACACTATAAAGCAAAAATCCGGTAGTTACAGTATTTCAAAATTACTAAGCAAGAGGATATTACCCATCCTGGGAACTGGTGTTACTTGATGCCAGCAGGTCCCTCTCTTGCCTCACCTCCTTAGTTCCATTACTACTACTACTACTACTACTACTACTACTACTACTACTACTACTACTACTACTACTACTACTACCACCACCACTAGTGAACATCGAAATGTTACCTCACTAGTATTGCACCTCACTCTGAGCCTTTATATACCCTCAGTTACGTTACGTGGACGATGTCCTCGTAATAACTCCAAAACGTTTTGATGTACGGGATCTTCAGGCAAGGCTCAACGCAGTTGAACCGGCGATCCAGTTTACACTAGAAGAAGAGTCCAACGACAAGCTACCTTTTCTCGACGTCCTCATTCACAAAGTAGACAGCAACCTAAGATTTCAAGT